CTGTTGCTCGACGTCTTTCTTGTACTTACTAACTTGGTTGAGACGAGATAGGGATTTAGAAAGAGATAAAGCCTGAAGTAGAGAACGACCGCTGCTGTTGAATGCTCCATCTACACAGGATAAAGCATGACCTTTACTTACAAACACCCTCACAAGCAGATCTATTCTGAAGCAAAGCTGACACAGATATACTTCATGGAGCTTCAGCTGATTTCTGACACCTGTCTGGTCTTCCCACTGTTGAACATGTGGCACATTTGTCCATTCAGCTGCCTCTTGGGAACTATCGGGGCAAAGGGGCCAAAGTTCACTCACCTTCTTCCAAATCAGTGATTGTTGCATCGCGGTTTAGCAGTGGCCGTGACAGCTTTGCTTTAGGGGAGGAGTAGGAGTAGGAGCGAAGACGGACCTCAGCCTCCTCTGGGCTCTAGGTGAGAAAACAAATCACAACAGTAATTAGAAGTTCACAGATTCAATCCTGTGAACAGCAAAATCAGAGTGCATCAGAAACCTGCAGGACAAACAGACCAATAGACTCTGCCCTTTCGTCCATGTTATTGAGCTGTTTATAGTCTGGGCTTATTTACTAAAGATTGTAAGGTAAAGCTGTCTCTTTTGTAATGCTTAGCATACACTGTATGACATGGGCTTTTCATTTTTTCCTACTGAAAAATTGATGATTAATTAAAAAAAACAGAAGACAATCAAGGAAAATATTCAAATGGAACAAAAACTGTGTCGAGGATATTATGGTGACTTAATAAGACACATTTTTAATTCATAGTTTATACAAGCTTATGATAATGTTTTGTGAACCAGAAGGGAAGGGGTATACCTTGGTTGATTTGTGCGTGATGTCGGATTGCGCACGACTGAAATCTGGAGAAGCGTCAAAAGAGTCTCTCTCTTCTCCTGAGCTAGAGCGCAGAGTGGACTGTTGCCTTATAGATGAGGATGGGTAGGAATGTCCCAGTATGTCCTCCTCTCCACTGTCACACTCTAGACTAGGGCTGTGCACAATCATACACACACACGGATTTAAACACACACGTGTCTAGGTTAAGGTCCTGTCATTCGCTAAAAGTGACTGACTGTTAATACTTTACTCCACATTATGTTAAGAACAAAATAAAACTGGCTATAAAGATTTACTTAAAAATCCTACTGACAGTGTAACTCTTGGCATCACACATTCACATTTGCAGAATATAGTTGGAGACAAACTGTATTCCGACACCTATCATAAACCAGAAAAATGTGCAGAACCATAACAACACCTATTCTGATTGAAATACTAATAATAAAGTGTGCAAGGACCATAACATCACCAGCTGCTCAGAAGCTCAAGTAGGAAGGGCAAGTTTTAATTCTAAACTGCAGCATTCCACAAAATAACACACTGGATCCTGATGAGCTATAATATTTTGCAGATGGACCTCATGACCTGAGAATCAGCCCATCAACCATTGATTTTCTACCACTTATCCAGGGATGGGTTGCAGGGCAGCGGCTTAAGCAGTGAAGCCCAGCGCTCCCTTTCCCCAACCATCTCCTACAGCTCTCATCCACAGGAACCCAAGGAGTGTTCCCAGGCCAGCCAAGAGACATAATCTCTGCAGCGTGTCCTGAGTCTACCTTGGGGCTTCATTTCAGTACGACATGCCTGGAACACCTCATCCTAATCAGACGTGGAGGACTAGTGGTTCTACTCTGATTCCCTGCCAAATGACTGAACTTCTCACCCTATCTCTAAGGCTCGAGCCACTCTTCACAAAAAAATCATTACAGACACAAGAAAACCTGTATCTGGATTCTCATTCTTCCATTCCAAGAGACCTTCAATTCCCACCTCCAGCATTCCGAGGGAAGTGGGGATATTGAGTCTGAATGAAGGAGTCCTTTACTTTTATGGCGCTGCTGTTTATGGCATCCGCAG